TATACCTTTGCAGTAGTAAAATGACGATGATAATAAAAAGCTAAATGCTGTGAAATCTCAGATTTTCGTTGGGGTTAAATTTTCGTTGTATTTGAGTTATAAAGAGACCCGCGAATTCATATCCATCACAAAATGTAAAATATTATATGCATAATTACTAAACAATTCATCATCCAAGAAATCAAATTCCCATGAACCAAGAGTTTTTCCTCGAACCATAAATTTTTACCCCACGAAAATATGTGATTTTACAGTAGTTAATTATGTCAAATAGAATACGATGATCTCAGTGTTTTACGTCTAATTCATTTAATTAGGTATCAGTGGCATAAAAATTATTCAAAGATTGTGGAAAATGATCGAGTTTCCTTCAACCCGTCAACTGGTGAAATCGTCTTTAGAAATCTAAAAAAAGAGGACTTTGGTGTTTATTATTGCACGGCACAAAATAAGTTTGGAATATCAGTCTCACTATTTGTCAAATTATCGGAAACAGGTAAAGCGATAATTATTGTTTTAAAACATGTTGTCAGATCGAGAAATGATAAATATCAATTTCAGATCATCTGTAAACTTCAATATATATAAATAATCTATCTGTAATGTTCTGGACGTCTTGAATACCACATCAGTAGCAATAAGTATTATTTTGTCCTTGTAAATATTACCTCATTTATTCAACTATTCCAAGATATAGTATTAGTCTATATACTTGTCAAAATCATAACACAATGATATTTATTAAAAGTTCAATTTGTATTTCATTGTTGAATCGTTGAGATTATTGCTACTACAAAGGTATTTCATACGGTTTTAATATTTGAAAGTGACCACCAAAATAACAAAGAGACATAATTTATAATCTTTTGGCACTGTTTTCGATGATACGAAAGATTTATTATTCAAATAATTCAATTACAAGGCTCAATCTTGATAATAAAATATTTCCTGCTTCTATTTCTGTGCTGCGTTTGATATATGTTACATTGTATACAAACAGAACTGAAGTTGATATAACTTAATATTGTAGAACTTGACCAATTTTCTGAGGTCTCGAACGTGCAGGAAACGTGCAGGGAATATCATCATTGCAAACTTCCCTGTATCAATCAACCACGTTGTCAACCCAAAAGGGAATGTAAAATAAAATGGAGACTTGGATCTGGAACCTCAAAGAGTGTTTTGTACAGCGAATCTGTAGCCTTGGATCGTGAGGGTAAATCTAAATCATGTACAATTAAAGTTTCAAAAATAAATTTTCCAGAAGCTACATAGCCCATCTATAATAAAATACAAAGAGATGTATTTCAACTAAGAAACAATGTTTAGATTAAGATTTAATCAATTCTAATCTGTTGAAAAAAATCATTTAGGAAATCTTCATTTTCTGAACATAAGAAAATCTGACGGGTATAAAAATTACACTTGTGGAATTTGGAATGAAAGGATCAATGTGTTAAAAATGATCAGCAATACATATCTCCAGGTAAATGGTAAGCGAATTATATTATATGTTACTATGTTATTATATATTACAAAATTGAATAATTCCTATCTACGCGGAGATGCAACAATGTAGAATAAAACATAAAACTTCGTTATGTTCACTAGCACGTGACCTTCCAGGCTTCTATCTAAGTCTACATTAAAAGAAATTTGTTTTGGAGTTGGATGACCACTTTAAGATCCTTGCTCCTCTCATTCACAAAATTTAATAATAATGAAAATTACAATTGTTACGAGGTTCGTCAGCTAAAACCAGTCCAAACTTTTTCATGTAATCTACATGTATCTGCTTCTCGTTTCATTTTCATTTTTGTATTAATTCATTCTGACAAAGTGTCAAGATTTTTTTTTATTATTTCTTCCTTTCTTTATTAAAATTATTTGATCTTACATTTCGTAAAATGACGAGGAGCGTTGTCTATACGTATTGTAATGTTACCACACCCGATCAATCCGGAAATTTTATGTCCATCTTTATTTACTTTCATTTTTGTTTGTATAACGGCATTTCCGGAAGTCTGCACTAGGTTCATGCACTCAAATTTATCAACGAAACTTCTTGTTATATAGCGGCAACCATGTAAGTTTTATAATTGAAATTGTCTGAATAATATGTTTTACGGTGTGACCGTTGAGGCGGGCGCAGTTGTACCATCAAAACACTCGAAAAATTGATCAGTCACTTCAAACATCAAGTCGCACGAGACATCTCGTCTAGCTGTGACGTCACACGACGTCACGGAGCTCGTCGGAGCTTACGGAAACGGCCGAGCGTCTGGTTTAAACTATAGACCTAGCACAATTTTGGTCGAAAAACATTGCAGAGTTATTTTTTGTTTCTTTGAAAGATTTCTACAAACTGAAAGCTTTTTATGCTTTAAGATATTGTTTATTTATTTATCTATTTCACGGAAACAACCGACATGACTTAATTAGCATATCGTAAAAATTCATAAGTTTCCGGTGACGTCATTGTATCATTTCCGAAGGGCAAGGTGAAAGCCGGTGTTGTGGCATGGGGGTATTTTTTTGAATAAGGTAAGGCAAAATCATTTCGTTAAGATTTCGGTAAGAAACAATGTTCCTTTATTTTTTTTACTATTTTTGATTTATTTGCGCAAAGGACATTGGGTAGTGCAGGAATTCTGGGAATGTTGCACAGAGAAATTTGGCTGACGTATGTACAGATTTCAATCCGAATTTCCTCTGTTCTTACACGTTAGTCTATTGAGCTCGCTTCGCGAGCGTCGCTTCGCGACGCTCGCTGCGCTCGCTATTAGATTATTTTGTTTGCAGTTTACTATGCAATCATTTTATTGTGCATGTCATAAGTATTTTTGTTTATGCTGTACTTGCAACTCGCAGTCGATGCTATTTTCAGATTTAAAATCCACAAGCTGTTAGAAAGTCAGTTTAAAGTTAAATTTTACAAAATTTTGTATGATATTTGAGTAGAACAAGTTGATAATGTGTTGCTTAACTATTGATGGTGTATAAGAATTTACAGTAGAATCTCAAATATAAGTTTTAAATGTCAGAATTAATTTGTGTAATGTTTACCTATGAATCTACACCAGTTTCTTGGAATTTTTTGATTTATATTACCTGAAGTTGTGATCCTACATGAATTATTTTGTATTTTTATTTTGTGTAGCTTTCACAGAATGTCTCACAAGAGAACCATATATGATGTCTGCTCCAGACCCTTGAATTTGAATAAAATCTGAATTGAATTGAACCTTTGAGGCATTTTGTAAACTGAAACAAAACAGTGAAAGATGGCTTCTTCAACTAGGACAACATCTTCCAGATCACGAGCGAGTACGGCTAAGTCGGACCTGTTTCTACAACAAAAAATTAAAAAGGAAACCGCAAAAAAGAAAATTGAATATGTCCAGAAGGAAAGCGAACTTGTATGCCAGAGGGCCAAAATAGAAGCTGATGCCCTGATCCAAAAGGCTAAAATAGAGACACAGTTAATGCGAATAAAAGCAGAAGAGGACACGGAAGTCGCAGAAATTAGTATGAAGATTCTTGAGGAGGAGTTTCAAGATATATGCAATTGTTCTGATAACGGAAGTGAATTTGGTGACTGGATTGCATCACACACGAAGCGTTATGTAGAAAACTCACACATAGAAGCAGATAGACTTTTGACACCAGAACCGGCTATACCTCCAATTAGAACGCCGTTCGTTGGAACGAGACCTGAATTTCCGAACACGGTTACACCACCACCTTCCCCACCGACACCTGCTGCCCCACCAGACAGCATACTGAACCCTTGTGCTCGACTCTTTGTTCCTGAGAATTTTGTGTCACAATCGAGTGCGTGTGAGCCGAATAAGCAAAGCGGAATCAACCAGGCTCTTATGGATATGACAAACTTTTTGACCAAGAAAAGCTTCATATTGGAAAGAGTTAAACCATTCGTTGGCGACTCGGAGTCTTACCTAGCATGGAAATCTACATTCCAGGAAGTCATGAAGGAAATTGATGCATCCCCATCTATTGAACTGGACTTGATGATAAAAAATCTTGAAGGAAAACCATATGAGCAAGTGAAGAGCATAAAGAACTCAAATACCGGTGACTCTACTTTGGGAGTACAGAAAGCGTGGGAAAGATTGGATTCGTTTTACGGCAGCCCAGATCGTATTGCACGAGCTTTGAAGAGAAAGTTAAGTGATGTTTTGGAGAAATTTGACTTCAACAACAGGCCTGACTACTTTTGTCTCTCAGACACACTGAATGAAATAAATGCTGTCAAAGACAATCCCAAGTACAGTAAGACATTGAGTTATTTTGACACATCAGATGGAGTCAAACCGGTGTTACTCAAACTTCCCATACATGTCCAGAACAAGTGGCGTGACAAGGCAATACAATACAAGAAAAACAATGATGTAGAGTATCCACCGTTTTGTGTATTTTGTACCTTCGTCCAAGAAATGGCCTATGTGATGAATGACCCAGGATTTGACTTTGAATGTAAACCGATTCACTTAGCACCGAAGACAAAATCGAACAAACAATTTCACAGACAGACTGACACTTCCAACAAAACAGATGTGTTACAAGACGAGAGTCAGGCAAAAGTGCGTTGTGCTGTCCACAATTCTGCACACTCCACGAGTGACTGCAATGTTTTCCGCACAAAGAGTATCGGTGAAAAGAGGAACATCTTAAGGAAACATGGTCAGTGTTTTAAGTGTTGTGATGGCAAACATTTGTCTAATGACTGCCGTGTGAAAGTGAAATGTGACACTTGTGGTAGCAGACATCATTGCACTGCCATGCATTTTGACACATCAAACAGACCCTCCCAGAATCATGGCGGGGAGAAACTAACAGTAACCGGTGAAAAACCAGCTTTTCATCGTCAGACGGCTGAGACGACCACACACTTAAACGCAGCTTGTACAGAAATTTGTGGGGATTTCAGAGGCAAATCATGTGCTAAGATTGTACTGGTCAGCATTCACCATAAGCACAGCGAACACCCACCGGTTAATGTGTACGCCATTCTTGACGAGCAGAGTAACAAGTCACTGGCAAAACCTGAACTTTTTGAAATGTTTGACCCAAACAGTACTTGTGAATCTTACAAACTCTCTACTTGCAGCGGATCATCTTTAGTCAGTGGCAGACGCTCTCATGGCTTTGTGATTAACTCGATGGACAGACAAACTACTTTCAGTTTACCTACCTTAATTGAATGTAGTGCAATACCGAACAATCGTCATGAAATCCCAACTTGTGATGTAGCCATTCATCACCCTCATCTTGCTCAGATATCGAGCTTTATTCCACCTATGGACCATACGGCAAATATATCACTACTGATTGGCAGGGATCTCTTGGGCGCACATTATGTCCTTGACCAGATAAGAGGTGATCCCTCACAACCATATGCTCAACGGCTACCATTAGGCTGGGTTGTCATAGGAGAGACGTGCTTGGATGGAATCCATACACCGAAATCTGTTGATGTTATGAAAACCATGTGCTCGAATTCCGAACAACCATCTCAAGGCATCTGGATACCATGTGACCAAAAGATGCACATTACAGAATGTATTGAAAACCAGTCAGTGTTTAGAAGAACCACAACAGACAATCAACCATCATTGTCAGTTGAGGACCGCTTATTCTTGACTCAGATGGTCAGTGATATGAAAAAGGACTCTTCGGGGCATTGGAGTGCTCCATTACCCTTTAAAAGGACACGACCTACTTTACCAAACAACCGACAACAAGCTTTGGATCGAGCAGTCAGCCTTGACAAGAGTTTGATGAAGAACCCTCTAAAGAAAACTCATTTTCTTGAATTCATGAGGAACCTTTTTGAAGCCGGTCACATCGAATTGGAACCACAGCTCCCACCAAACACTGAGTGCTGGTACTTACCTTTGTTTGGGGTCTACCACCCCCAGAAGAGAGACAAAATCCGTGGAGTTTTCGACTCTTCTGCGAAGTGCGACGGAGTATTACTCAACGATGTCCTAATGACTGGACCAGATTTAATGAACAATCTTATTGGTGTGTTGCTAAGATTCAGGAGAGAATCTGTAGCAATAGTTGCAGACATCGAACAGATGTTTTACAGTTTCTTAGTGGATATTGAACACAGACGTTACTTGAGATTCATTTGGCACAAAGAAAATAACTTTGACGAACCTTTAGTTGACTACCAAATGAAAGTACATGTTTTTGGTAATAGTCCCTCCCCTGCAGTGGCGACCTATGGACTACGACGTCGTACGGCTGATGAAGCAGCAGCACAGTATGGCTCGGATATGAGGGAGTTCGTGCATCGCAATTTCTACGTGGAAGATGCTCTTTCCTCTCATTCATCTGCAGAGGACGAAATTGACCTACTTAAGCGCACACAGAAGGCTTTGATGGAACATGGCTGCTTGAGACTACATAAGATAGCATCCAATTCTGGTGAGGTTTTAGCAGCCTTCAGTTCTCAGGATCTAGCAAAGGACCTGAAAGACACAGAACTCTGGGCAGATGACCTACCAACACAGAGAAGTTTAGGCATCTGTTGGAACCTTCAACATGACTACTTCACATTCAAAGTAAACATGGAGGACAAACCATTCACAAGACGTGGCGTCCTTTCCTCCATCAACAGTCTCTTTGATCCACTTGGTTTTGTTGCGCCAGTGACGATTGCTGGAAAGGCTATTCTACGTGAAGCCATGACAAGTGGATTAGACTGGGATGAACCTTTGCCGCCTGACTTTCTCCAAAAGTGGACCATTTGGAAATCATCCTTGAAGGACTTAGAACATTTGCAGATTCCACGTACCTTTAGTGAGATGTCTGTTAGTAAAGCAAATTACAAGGAATTACTGATATTCTCGGACGCTTCCACTATGGCCATTGCAGCTGTCGCGTTCCTTAGACAAGTTTCTGACACAGGGAAGGAACAGCTTGGGTTCATCATGGGGAAAGCTAAACTGGCACCTAAGCATGGTCACACTGTGCCGAGACTGGAATTGTGCGCGGCTGTCATGGCAACTGCACTATATGAACTTATCGCTGCAGAGATTGACACCAACCTTGACTCAGATTTTTTACAGACAGTAAAGTAGTTTTGGGCTATATAAGAAATGAAACCAAACGTTTTTCACCTATGTGGCCAATCGTGTTGAAAGAATACGCAAATCAAGTGAACCTAAAGACTGGAATTACATTCCGACAAAAATGAATCCAGCAGACGAAGGCACGCGATCTGTAGCAGCGAAGGAGATGCAAGCCAGCCTCTGGTTGAATGGTCTGAGTAAACTTCTTGATAGCAGTGAAAATGAACATTATGACCTTGACATTGATTGCGATCCAGTGGTCAGATCATGTAAGACAGAATTACAGAGCATTTGTCGTCTAGGCTCCCATCGCTTTGAAAGGTTTTCCGATTGGCTGCGACTGACCAGAGCTATTTGCTTCATACAGAACATGATACACAAGTGGAAACGGTCAAAATGTGATGAAGATAAAGATCAAGAACCACTTACCTTGAAAGAAGCTGAACTTCTTATCATCCGTGAGATTCAGGATGAGAAATTTCCTGAAGAAATCGAAGCTCCCAAGGCAGGCAGAACAGTAAACAAGAGTAGTCCAATTTTCAATCTGGACCCATATTTGGACGAAGATGATTTACTTAGAGTGGGAGGCAGACTTCGTCACTCCAACTTGACCTCTCAAGAGAAGAATCCACTTATTGTTCCGAAAAAGAGCCACATTGCCAATTTGCTTGTGGACCACTTTCACAGAGAAGTGAAACATCAAGGACGCTTATTCACGGAAGGGGCAATAAGAAGCGCAGGGTTTTGGATCGTACACAGGAAAAATGTCCACATGTGTTGAACATATGTTAAACATGTGTTTAACATATATTTTTTACACATGTAAAACACATAAAAGGAGCACACATGTACAGGGTGTTTATTTTTACACATGTTAAACATATGTTTCACATCTGTTTAACATGTGTAAAAATGAACACATTGTATATTTATACATATGTAACATGTGTTAAACATGTGTTTTATATATGTTATACTTTATATGTGAATTATACGTGTATAATATTACTGTTGTACTTATCATTTTTATACTTTTTTCATGTCTGTCCACATATGTGAATCATATGAAAAGGGCAGCATATGTAAATCATATGAAATAGTTACATGTGTTCTCTTTCAATATTTATCACAAGGAAAAACACATTCTTGTACACATTTAAAAATCAGATATTTCTGCTTTAGATGAAAATCCATTACATTCCAATGATCTATCATCATGGGTTAAATATTTGAAAATTAATATCTTAAAATGCTTACACAACTTTTTTGATAAATTATTTTCATCAAGAGAAATAACTTATTTTTCAGTGTACTTTCTAAACAGGAAAGTATACAAACAAGTCAGTAGCATTTGTCGATACATATATTTTACATATTCTAAGTTGAGTACAATTATAAGATTTCCACAAAATGATTAAATAGTTAAACATGCATACATGTACAAATGAATAACATAATTAGTCCATGTACTTTTTTATAATTTATATGATTTGACATGAAAGTGTCCAAAGCAAAATTGAAATATCACATATAACATTTGTCATGTATTCTCTATGGTAAATTTATGAAAAATCAAGTTATTTGATATTACAGCATACAAATAAGAATGGGAATTAAATCTTTACAGGTCAAATGCAGACAAGATTGTGTACATCCTCCCAATTTCATAATTATTTCATACATTTTCTTGTTCTTTTTCCTTCTGTATCTTTCAGTTTTCTTCAGTTGTCCTCCCTCTGATCTTCCATGAGCTTGACCATTTTGAACTCTCTTTGAACTGTACCCAAAATGCAAATCCACCATTTCTCCCTTTCCTGAACAATTTCTTTGTGGCACAGAATGGTCTCTACAAAAATTTCAAAAGTAAAAATAAAACAATTCTTAAATTACAAAATCAATTCTACAAGAAATATTAAAGTTCAGCAAACAAATGTATGCCCAATTCACCAACAGAGATATGATAAGAGATAAAACTAATGTTATATATGCTATACTAGGTGTTTAGTGGAATCCTATGATGTAATTTGCAAGACAATTACACTGTTGGAAGATATGCTTCATAATAAAGTCATAAAAAGCATTTTTTTTTTTTTGGATTTTGACAATTAAATTTGGAATGTTCAAACAGTATTACTAATTCATATTGCCAAAATTTGAGAAGATTCTGACACAAATATTTTTTTATTTTTGGACAAAAAATACTACAGAGAAGCAGACAGGCAGAAAAAAGACAGTGTGATTCCAGGATATCCCAAACGTTGTTGGGAAGAATATAATAAAGTTTATTTAACAGTGTGTAGTTACCTTAATTAAGCTTTTAAGCAAGTCTTGGTTCTTGGGATTTATTCTTATGAGACGCTGACTGTATATTGAACCTGTAAAACAAATATTCACGCAGTAGATATCTTCTAAGCATAACTAAAACTTAATTAAACTACAAAACTACAACTATAAAAAAGAGAGAGTACATGTTTGTAGGTTCTTAATAGTCTTAATTAATATCTTACATTTTACTAGAAACTATGTTCTCTAGTGTTGGAAAAAAATAATAAATGTCAGGTAATGAATACTGGTACATAATAGATGTAAATATCCAATGGATTAGCTAGCTGATGTACTTTCAACAATCAACACATATACACATGCACTTGTACCTTGAAAGTTGGATGTCACTGTTAATATTATTAATTTTTAACTGAAATTCAAAAATTCAATAACCCCCCCCCCCCTGAAGTCATTTACAGTACATGTACCAGTTTCATAGCTTTTAAAGCCAGCAAATTCTATTCATATTTTCCATATTTTAAAAGTGCACTGGATTAAAACTGTTTTATAATATAGAATAAAATTATTGTAGCATTGAGTTGGACTTATTATTTATGAAGTCGTGCAAACAATACAATGTAGAATTATAAAGGAACAAAAAGAAATTACAATGTATCAAGAAATATTTTGTCATGAAGGAGTCATTACAGATGTTTACTTTGATTTTTTATTGCAAGTATTTATTTTTACCTTTAATATTGCGATGATGCAATCATCTGTCAAATCAGCTTTAGGATCAATCGCCAGTCTTATCAGCTTTGGGCTTTTTAGACGCAGCAATGTGACACTGAACTCAAGTTACTGCATGCATCTATAGGCCATAAAAACAAACAATTGTTATTAAGTTGATGAAAGAATCGACTTGACAGCCATCTCAACATACATAAACACCAACTGACAGTCACAATGGTTTCAAGGTTTCTACTTTCACTTTCATATCAGTACGTAACAAAAGGAAAACCAATAATGCCTTTAAAAAGTAGCCTAACATGTAATGTTAACGTTCATTCAGAAACAAATTTATCCCAAATTACTTACCTGTATAAAAATTATACAAAATGAAAATAGTAATGCCTTTAGCCTAACATGTAACCGCTTACATTCACGGGCACTGGAAGTTAATATAAATATATAGTATGTGTATGTATAAAAAAAGAAGGGTCTTTTTTATACATACACATAATATATATTTACATTAACTTCCAGTGCCCGTGCTTTCATTCAGTCAGAAACATTTTTCACCAAAATTACTTACAGATCACTATCGTTAGGTTTACGAAATGCATGACAAGTCACAATGATAATTAAGAGTATTATATGTTATAGAAAGTTCATACGCACCTGTATCTATAATGAAATGATATTTAAACAATATGAATTAAAAGTCTTTTAAAAATTGTTTGGAGATCACTTACCTTTCCAATACACCCACCACGTCTGCTGCAGCAGTGACGTCAAAAATGATGTACATTTTCATCCGATAAAAGACAAAACCGGCCCGGAGACAAATACGGAATTATTTTAATTTTACTCAAGAAGTAAGCCAAGCCCAAAAGATTTAAAATGAAAAGAAAATGAATTCATTCTTTTCAATTTTGTCTGATAAATGCATTATTACAGAAAAAAAATTGTGAAAGTTTTTTTTAGAAGGGAAAGGGGGGGGGGGGGATAAACAAAGTAAAACTTTACATGAGTAAAATTTTACTAACATTTACAAATTCTTTTGAATTAATGTACATACACATATGAAATAAAACTTGACATGTGTATAACATATGTATATGAATACACATATATTTTATATAAATTAGACATGCATAATTCATCTGTATTTTCGCACACATATATTACATATATATAATACGTGTTATACATGTGTGGTGAAAAACATGTGTTTAACATATATATTATCTCACAGGTGTATAACATGTGTATATTATATATGTTTTACATATAAATGAAACACATATTTTACGTGTGTTTATTTACACACATGTATTACATGTATAAAACATGTGTTGAACACGTGTGAAACCAAACATATGTTTAACACATGTGGACATTTTTCCTGTGTAGGGTGTCGCCGTCTTGTGAACTCTCATATACAGAAGTGTGTATCATGTAGAAAGCTGCGAGGCAAACAACAACAACCAAAAATGGCTGACCTTTTTGAGGCACATCTTCATCCGGCACCCCCCTTTACACATATTGGAGTGGATGTGTTTGGACCTTGGTCCATAGTTAACAGAAAGACACGAGGAGGTCAAGCTCAAGCTAAGAGATGGGCAGTGATTTTTACCTGTTTGGTCATTCGTGCAATCCATATCGAGGTAATTGAGGAATTAAGCACCTCTAGCTTCATCAACGCTTTGCGTCGTCTTACAGCCCTTAGAGGTGAAGTGCGCACAATTTGCTCCGATCGTGGTACAAACTTTATTGGAGCCACTTCAGAAATGAACGTCAACATGATTGACATTAAAGATGCACCGCTAAAGGACTTCATGGACAGGAGAGGAATTCAGTGGAAGTTTAACCCCCCGCATGCCTCACACATGGGTGGGACATGGGAGCGGCTGATAGGTGTCTCGAGGAAGATTTTGGATTCTCTACTGACAGATCCAAAAGTGACAAGACTCTCTCATGAAGTATTAGTGACTTTGATGGCAGAGGTGTGCTCTATCGTCAATGCACGCCCTCTGAGTGGGGTCACATATGACCCAGATTTACCCTATCCTTTGTCCCCTGCAACATTACTCACCTTGAAAACAAGACACACAGTGGATTCTTTTGACCTGGAAGAGTTTTCAACAAAGGATTTGATGAAGGATCAGTGGCGCTGTGTTCAACAGCTTTCAAATTGTTTCTGGAAACGGTGGAACATGGAGTATCTGTCTTCACTCCAACAGCGGAAGAAATGGCAACAAGACGAAAGAAATCTTCAAGTCGGTGATGTCGTCCTTCTTCGTGACAAGACACTTCATCGCAATGACTGGCCAATGGGAATTGTTGAGAACACTTACCCTAGTGATGATGCGCGTGTCCGTAAAATAGAAGTTCGCATTGGCATGGACAGAAAGATTTTCAAACGCCCGGCGACAGAAGTTGTGCTTCTCGTACCAAACAAACAGTAGTGTGAACGTGTCGTGAGAGGACATTTGATGGGAATGTTTGTAAAGCACAGTGTACTGTATCTTTTATTGTGTATTATTGTTATTTTGAACACTGATATTTGGTAGAGTTACCTCATTTTAGTTTGTTTAGTTTAAATATTGGTGATATTATCATATCAGACGGGGAGTTAATGTTACCACACCCGATCAATCCGGAAATTTTATGTCCATCTTTATTTACTTTCATTTTTGTTTGTATAACGGCATTTCCGGAAGTCTGCACGAGGTTCATGCACTCAAATTTATCAACGAAACTTCTTGTTATATAGCGGCAACCATGATAGTTTTATAATTGAAATTGTCTGAATATTAGATTATTTTGTTTGCAGTTTAATATGCAATCATTTTATTGTGCATGTCATAAGTATTTTTGTTTATGCTGTACTTGCAACTCGCAGTCGATGCTATTTTTAGATTTAAAATCCACAAGCTGTTAGAAAGTCAGTTTAAAGTTAAATTTTACAAAATTTTGTATGATATTTGAGTAGAACAAGTTGATAATGTGTTGCTTAACTATTGATGGTGTATAAGAATTTACAGTAGAATCTCAAATATAAGTTTTAAATGTCAGAATTAATTTGTGTAATGTTTACCTATGAATCTACACCAGTTTCTTGGAATTTTTTGATTTACATTACCTGAAGTTGTGATCCTACATGAATTATTTTGTATTTTTATTTTGTGTATCTTTCACAGAATGTCTCACAAGAGAACCATATATGATGTCTGCTCCAGACCCTTGAATTTGAATAAAATCTTAATTGAATTGAACCTTTGAGGCATTTTGTAAACTGAAACAAAACACGTATATTAAATGAGAACAGTAGAAAATTCTCATTTGGATTCACTAATGATGCTTAGATTCAAATTTTTAAAATAAATTGTTGTATTTATTTATATAGGCTACCATTTCATATCTTACGTAACTTTAGTAGAGTCTTCAAAAGGCATTTCCCCAGAGGCAGTTTATCAACGTGGCGACAAAGTTTTCGTTGGAGAAAATGCTACCCTTGTCTGTATTTTTTCTGGAAAGTAAGCATGTTTCCTTAATAACTTCTGACTACCCATAATTTTGCTCGATACAGAAAAATTCATACACCACATCATAAAATTTCAAAAGTTTTGTTTGTTTTTCACATGCATATAAAGTATTTATTGTATATATTGATAGCCCTGTTCCAAAAATTGCATGGCGGAACAAAAACGGAACCTATATACATGTAACAACAAACGACAAATATATGGTGGGTCAATATGGACGACGGCTTCAAATCATAAACGTAACATTTGCTGATGAGGGTGTCTATGAATGTAAAACCAACAGCAACCTTATTCAAAATCCATTCCTCAATGTCACATGTACGAAGAAGTTGCTTCTCCAAAGTTTTTTAATCTTTTTCTACAATTTACATTTAATTTTGATTCATAATTGATTTTTTATAAGAACAACTATTTTTCTTTTCAATTTTTCAATTAGCCCCTCCGCTTTTTCCTGATGTCGGTAAGCGTTTCATGACAAAAATACTTCAGAATTCGACAACAGTGTCCATTGTTCTCCAATGCAACGCAATGTCCGCAACAGCCGAAGTTGATCCCATTGTAATCAAATGGATGAAAAATGGAGAGATCCTAAATGAAGGTTTTTGTTTTGCAAGGAATGCATGACGAGTAGTGTTTTCTAGCGTAAACATAATTGTTCTTACAATACACTGAACCAAACTTCTAAGTGTTCACCTAACATTTTTTTTAAGTTTAAAAGGACAAAAGCATACAATAAAAAATTTCGTAAATTCATTTTTACTGATGCATATATCAGTTCGATGTTGCGGAAATTTCATGCAAGTATCTCTTCAGACTTTTAAGCAACGTTTCAAGGACATGGTGTACCCTCAAAATTAAAATTCACATGAAAGAATTTCTGTGATGTAAGAGCACCACTCACTCTAATTAAAGCAAGCAAGGCATCCTTTCCCCATATATACTATGTACCCCTTAATAATACATGTAGGTTGATCTATCAACTGCCACGCCAACTGTATGGATCATTCTCAACCGTTGAAATTCCATGGAGGGGGATGGGCTTTAACATTCCTTATAAAAGTTCCAAATGTGTTAAATGAGATTCAGATTCAGGGATTTGGCAGGGCAGTGCATGACAGTTAAACCGTTTGGTCAACACTGAGATCCGCCTTTGGCCTCTCACACTAAAGTGTTTCTCTTTAAGAATGATTCGGACTGTTTTAGATGATATTGAACTGCCATGAGCACCACTTTGATGCCATTTTCGTGCTATTGAAGTTGCTGATTTAAATGTTTCTAAAGTAGCGACGAAAATCCAGGTCACTTCCGGTTTGGTTAAATTTTGTCCAAAACTTTCCAATTGTGATAAGTGGACTTTTACGAGAAGCACTGACTTTAACAATTGACGGTTTACTTGGACATGTAAACCTGTATTGTACGGAGGTACAGAATTGATAATAGATAAGAAAACCTTTCTAATGATCATAAGTATATGGTGTTAGGGGCATTTACATGTGAAAACTAAGAGATAAGGGTAGAGTGTTTGTCCTTTTTTTCAAGGTCAACTTATATGTGCATTGAAATAATCCGTTATTTTCGTTGAATTAAATGTTGAGTTATATATTCATATCGTTAAAGAGCTTTCGTACATTGTCCTAGTGTAAAAGTTAGCCGTCAACTGTAAAAGTCAGCGCTCCTCGTAAAAGTTCACTTAGCGATAAGAATGACAGACAGCCTATAGAAAAATGTGTTAAAATGGATTTTAATACTGGTTGTTAATTTCTAAACGTAATATCAAGGACACATAATCATTAAAATAAAAGTGAGTAAAATGTGTTGTAAGAATGATCTAGATATCAACATTCCAAAGGCTCTCCCTCCTTCCTCAATCCTTATTTTGCCCATGTTTTTTGTTTTTTTTTTAATATAACCAGTTATCAAGAATTGATAATGGTTTCAAAAAGAAGCTGATTCCACAAAACACGTGCCGTAAAGTACTGATTTGTTGTTTTTAGGGACATTTGTTTTCATCCGTGATAATTTATTTTCTTTCGACAATTGTTGAGACGGCTATAGTTATAATAATATGCAAAATATTATACCACACTATATCATCCAGTTTTTAAATAAATACATTTACTAGAGTAAACACTTAGAAGGTTATAAGTGTATATGTTCAATTAAAAATGATGATATCAGAATCGATCATTGGCCCTCTGTTCAAAATTAATGAAGTCCTTATACTCTTTAGGTAAAGAAGGTAGATGCTTGTTTATTCCCTTCTATTTAATATAAAATATCAGCATATTGAATCACATCAGGCAATTGAAATACAGATATCAGGTTTTATTGATTCTATTCTATTCTCATGATAGTCATCAAACGCTATTACTAGCAGTGCATTGTTTTAATCTATATATCTTTTTAACAGATGTTAGAAAGCAGCTTTCAGGGGACAAAACGACTCTTCATATTTACAACATAATTTCAGACGATTATGGTTGTTACACATGTGTGATAGAAAACAGTGAAGGAATTGCAGTGGCAAATTTTTTACTCCCTTACGGTAATATTTTTTCATTTACTGGATTTAGATTAAAATTATAAGTTGATGCAATATCATAGTGAAAAATATGAACTATCAGTAAAAGAACAGCATCAAGTGATTGAATGGTCCTAAATGGCAAATACATGTAGTTTTCACTAACATTTCATATATCTGACAGTGTGCATTCAATAAACCTAACTGACTGTTCATAGTTGAACTTTCATATCAGTCAAAAATCTTTATAAATGAACATATTTCAGCGTTATTGATAAAATAGATTGGCGGTTTACTCATTTGTTAGTGAACTTGTAAGACACGGTTGAATTAAATTCCTAATGTTTTTCATTTTCTGAGGAAGCAAGTTAAAGAGACACCGTGACGCACACATGAGAAAATTGACAAACGTAGAATGACCAATGTAAATTTTGTTCAATTCCCAAAAGTATTAGGTTTCAGAACCTAAAAAATTCTATTTCAAAAGAGAAAAATAAAAGTAAAAATAATTTCAGTATGCCCCATAACGAAAATATTGCCTTATTTTTCCCTCTCTATTGTACGCGTGCGCAGAAAAGTTTGAATAAGTTACCAGAGTTACAATGGTCTCAAGTACCCAGGAGTACCCAGGAATGAATGTAAGTAGACCAAGAATTTTGATGCAATCTTTTCAAAAAGGTGTTAGATTGATTGATTAATTATATATTGTTTAACGCCGAGTCGGCAATTTTTTAGCCATATTTCGGCGGTAAAAAGGTGTTAGAACATATTTCTCACCTTTGCCAAACCATATCCTATCTACGGAACATCAATATCGTATTAAGATAACAAATTTATTGAGTTGCCTAAGATTTGAATCAATTCTAACTTTAACTGGTTATTTTGTAAAAATATCAAAATATCAAAAAGGCATTTCCCTAAAAATTTCAAGTCGAATGTTAACTTCCTGTCTCCTTTAGCCCTCTCCCGGATTGTTGAAGCAGTAGATCAAGTTTGACGAGAGATCTTTAATATTTGCAGGTGTGAAGCGCCCTTATGGTTGCACTGTTTGTAAGTTCAGACCTCGAATGACTGGCCACAGAAAGAATATGGTGACAGGGAATTTATTTTACGGAGTTTTGGGCGAAAATACAAGTGGATGTGTCAATCCGACATCTTTGTACAGGATGCAAAATTCCTAGAAACATGAGGAAAGAGTTGGTGTTGTTAAACTTTACACATATTCTAATACAGAGAGTACGAAAAGGAAGTATACTCAATTCACCGAAATCTACTTAAAATCAAACATGCGACCGTGGTAAGAAAGAGCTAGTAAATGGAAGTATATATGCATTTTCACAAATTTGAATTTCTTAATTATTTTTTTTTAGATCGATCACCGTACCTCATCTGACCAGCCACCCTCCTACCTTTTCACTGGTTTCACTTATATAACGTTACTTGCTAAATAAAACCCTATTATATTTACTGCTAAATTTGGTATAAGAAATCTGCATAATATGGTAATTACTTCATACATGTATACTGTGGGTTCATTAAAATTTGTGGGTACTAATTTTGGTGGATTGGTATAATCTCCTACAGGTTCATGGAGACGTAGCTTATTTTAGTCTCTTATACCTGCAAAAGGAAATAGGACTTCGTGACCCTAATTAATTATTTCGCAGAGGATTTTCATTTGTGTATGATAGGTAACCACCAATTCCGTGAAAATTTACCCACCGCGAAATCTAATGATTCCACGGTACATTCGAATCGAAACTTTCACGAACTGAACAGGGAAGATACTAGTAATGGGTGAGTCTATACTCGTAACTATCAATTTCCGAAAGAGCAATTTTTCTAGTATATAACTAGCAATTTCATAAAAAGCACTTCTTCCGCACATTCTGTTCACAGTTTCCACAACTTTGTTTCCTATTTTATTTATTTCCCATATATATTTAGCGCAGACGACAAAAACGACTTAGAAATGTTAATTTTACACTTTAGCTTTACATCAAAGTACAATATCTTAGGATTCAAGATGGAGAGCCTTGTGATAAGTCTCATTTTCCTTTGTGTGAGGGACAGAACCCTTTTCTGCAAAGGTATAAATGGTTTTCATCGTATTTTTAAAACTTATTCTGATTGAAAAGCTACACAAAAATGATATTCTGACTTTTAGGAGCAGAACGTATTAATTCGCCTCCTATTATAACATCAGAGTTTAATCCGGAATATTTTGTACCGATCTTTCATTCCACTCCATTATCCTTGTTTTGCGAAGGCAAGAACAACGTACACAGGTTAGTCACAGTTTATTATACCTTTGCAATGATCAGATGTCGTGGTGATAATGCAAAGATAAATAGTTATTATACCAAATAGAATACGATTATCGCAATATTAATGTCTAATTCATTTAATTAGGTATCAGTGGTATAAAAATTATTCAAAGATTGTGGAAAATGGTCGAGTTTCCTGTAATTCGTCAACTGGTTAAATCGTTTTCAGAAATTTAGAAAAAGAGGACTTTGGTGTATATTATTGTACGGCAGAAAATAAAATTTTGGAATTTCAGTCTTACTGCTTTTTCAATTATCGGAAGCAGGTAAAGCAATTATAATTGATTTTCAACATAATGTCAGATCGAAAAAAAAGTTAAATATCAATTACAGATCATCTGTAAAATGCAATATATATGGTTAATTTATCTGGAATGTTCTAGACGATTTGAATGCCACATCTCAGTGGCAACAAGAATATTTTAATCCCTGTAAATATTACCTCATTTATTCAACTGTTCCAAGAATAGTATTAGTAACACAATGACATTTAAAGTACAAATTTGTATAGAATTAGTGAATCGTTGAGTTTATTGCTACTATACAAGGTATTTCAGACGGTTAAAAGTGACCACCAAAACAACAGAGACATAATTTCTTATCTTTTGGCACTGTTATCGATGATACGAAAGATTAATTATATTCAAATAATTCAATCACAAGGCTCAATCTTGATAATAAAGTATTTCCTGTTTCTATATCTGTGCTGCGTTTGATATATGTTAAATTGTATACATACAGAACTGAAGTTGCTATTACTTTATATTGTAGATCTTGAACAATTTTCTGCAGTATCGAACGTGCAAGAAACATGCAAGGAATATCATCATTGCAAACTTTCCTTTCTCAATCAATCACGTTGTCAACCCAAAACAGAATGTCTGATAGAATGGAAGCTTGGATATGGAACCTCAAAAAGTGTATTGTACAGCGAATCTGTGAGGGTAGCCTTGGATCGTGAGGGTAAATCAAAATCATGTACAATTAAAGTTTCAAAAATAAATTTTCCAGAAGCCACATAGCCCAACTATGATAAAATACATACAGATGTTTTTCAACTCAAAAATAATGTTAAGATTAAGATTTAATCAATTCTAATCTATTGAATTTTTTTTTTTAGGAAATCTTCATTTTCTGAACATAAAACTTAAAACTTCGTTATGTTCACCAGCATGTGACCTTCCAGGCTTTTATCTAAAGCTACATTAAAAGAAATTTGATATAGAGTTGGATTGCCACTTTCACATCCTAGTTCCTCTCATCCACAAAATTTAAGAATAATGAAAATTACAATTTTTACGAGGTTCGTCAGCTTAAACCAGTGCAAACTTTATCGTGTTATCTATCTACTTCTTGTTTCATTTTCATTTTCATTTTAATTCATTCTGAGAAAGTGTCAAGATCTTTTTATTATTTCTTCCTTTCTTAATTAAAATGATTTGAACTTACATTTCTTAAAATGATGAGGAGCGTTGTCGTCTATACGTATATTAAATGAGTAGAAAATATTCTCATTTGGATTCACTAATAATGTTTAGATTCAAATCTTTAAAATAAATTGTATTTATTTATATAGGCTACCATTTTGTATCTTACGTAACTTTGTAGAGTTTTCAAACGGCATCTCCCCAGAAAGAGTTTATCAAAAGGGCGACAAAGTTTTCGTTGGAGAAAATGCTACCCTTCTCTGTATTTTTTTTTATGGAAAGTAAGCATGTTTCCTTAATAATAACTTCTGGCTCCCCAAAAATTTGTTCTATGCAGAAAAATTCATATGTGATACATCAGACAATTAAAGAAAAGGATTGTTTTTCACATGCACATTAAGTATTCATTTTGCTGTTAATTATAATAGCCCTGCTCCAAAAATACAATGGCAAAACAAAAACGGAAACTACATAACAACAAACCACAAATATATAGTTGATGAGTATGGACGTCAGCTACACATCATAAACGTAACTTAAACTGATGAGGGTGTCTATGAATGTAAAGTCAACAGCAATCTAATTCAAAATCCATTCCTTAATGTTACATGTACGTACATGTTGCTTCTTCGTAGTTTTTAAATTTTCTTTATCGTTATTAGATATTTTTGGATACATAATGTATTTTTTTCATGAAAACAACTAATTTTTTCTAAATTTGCTATTAGCCCCTCCAATTTTTCCTGATGTCAGAAAGCGATTCATGACAAAAATACTGCAGAATTTGAAAAAAGAATCCACTGCTCTCCAATGCAACGCAATGTCAGCAACAGCCGAAATTGATCCCACTGTAATCAAATGGATGAAAAATGGAGAGATCTTGAATGAAGGTTTTTTTTTTTATTAATTTGTTTTGCTAGAAATGCATGAGGAGTAGTGTTTCTAGCGTAAACATAATTGTTCTTATAATATATGTTCAAATAATTATAATGATATCAGAATCGATCATGGGCCCTGACTGTTCAAAAATAATGAAGTCCTAATACTTTATAGGTAAAGAAAGTGTATGCTTCTATTTAATATTTTCAAATTGTTTAAAAAATGTCAGCATACTGAATTACATCGGGCAATTGATAAGCAAATACCAAGCTTTAATGATCTATTGAAAATATATATCTACATGTAACCACACGATATTACCAGCAGTGCGTTGTTTCATTCTATTTATTTCTTTAACAGATGTTAGATACCAGCTTTCAGAGGACAAAAAGACTCTTCATATTTAAAACTTAAATTCAGACGATTATGGCTGTTACACATGTGTGAAAGAAAATAGTGAAGGAATTGCAGTGGCAAATTTTTTACTCCCTTATGGTAATATTACAGACTGACAGACAGACAGAGGGACAGACAGTTTCACCGTCAGGGGACTAATAAATCACTAAATGACGATACTAAATGATAATTTTGAAAAAAATATCGTTACACCGTCCTCGCTTTTTAATAAACCGTGCGACCGTTCTGTAACTAGTAAATAATAAATGCGCATGAACATATAAAGCATGAATTTTTTCCATGAAAAGTGTCTTTTCTGAGTTTTTCATTCCATGAACTTCTGATAACTTTCAAATTTACGATTGATGTATACATGTAGGTCTACAGAGATAGTGAAATTGTGATAATTTGTTAACATGGTATTATTTTTCTGTTTTGCATTTGGACACAAAAAATCTAATTACGGACACTGTAATACAACAGAAAACAATTCAAAATAGGAGCAGAGCAAACACGGACCTCCGAAACATCAGAGGTGGTATCAGGTGCCATGTGAGGAGTGAGCATCCCATCCTGACCGGTCACACTCTCCGTGTGCTCCTTGTCAGCAAGGCTTAAAGTCTCTA